ATCAACTTGCAGGGTATGCAAGTTAGGGACACTGGCCTGTAGTTCAGTGCCTCCTGCCTATCCCCCTAATTATATATCGGGACTACATTAGCAGTCTTCCAAATTTTTGCCAGTTCTCCTGTTACCAATAATTTGTTATACACTATGGAGAGTGGCAGGCACAGTGATTCTGCTCCTTCCTTTAGTATCCATGGTGATATTCCATCTGGGCCTATATCCTTTGTCACATCCAACTCTAGTAAAAGCTTCCTCACCTCCCCCACTGGTAATCCCGAACTCCTCTTGCGGTGCCTGGTTATCTATTCCATTTCTTATCTCTGGAACTTTTCCTTGCTCTAATGTGAAGACCTCCTGGAATTTATCATTGAGTTCCTCACACACTTCGTTGTCATTTGTAGTGAATCTGTCTGCCCCTATCCTCAGTTTCATTACCTGTTCCTTCATTGTTATTTTGCTCATGATGTGGCTGGGCAGCAATTTAGGTTGAGTCTTTGTCTTGCTTGCTATGTCATTTTCGTATTGCTTTTCTGCCTCTCTTCTCACCCTGACGTATTCATTCCTGGCGCTCTGGTATCTTTCTCTGCTCTCAAGTGTCCTGTTGTTTCTGTAGTTTCTCCACGCCCTTGTACTTTGTTGCTTTGCTAGCTTACATCTCTGATTAAACTATGGGTTTCTCATCTGCATTTCGTTTTCTTTTCCTTTTGGACTGGGACAAACTTGTTTGCTGCTTCCTTACACTTATGCATGATGTATTCCATCATGTCTTGGGCCGTCTTTCCCCTGAGCTCTGATTCCCATGTTATATCTGTTAGGAATTTTCTTATCTCCTCATGGTTTCCCTTATGGAATTCCAGCTTTTTAACCCTTCTTCAACCAGATACCCAAACATCAGTACACTGTGATCGGTCATTCCTGTGGGGAAAACTGCCGGGATTGATATGAGAGGAGAACTACTAGGGACTTGTACTGTACTAAAAATTAACAAATTACTGTATGCAAAATTAATTCAACTAAAGTCTCTAGCTAGGGTCGTAAATCCTAGCTCCTCTTTTCCTAATGACAGACTGTGGGCTGTATGGGGCAGGTGGGGGGGGGGGGTGAATGAAGAGGTTGATTGAAGCTCCACAATCCACTTGCAGGCAATTATCTCACATCAGCTTGTATTTTAAATACAAGGATAAGTTTTTAATCAATTCAGTTCTATGACTGAATACTGGTACTGTTTAAATCAGGGATTTAAACATGTACATGTCCAGTCTAGCACCATAACGATTAACAGCCAATATATTCTTGTACTATAAACACAACAATTTAAATTGTGGAAGTATGATAAATGACCTTAAATGTAGTATAAGGACTATTAACTAAGAACGAGAGATTATATTCTATTAGATATACTTATATTTTAGCTAAGTAAGCAATTGTTAACTTAATTTATATATTCAAGTATATATATATATATATATATAGATATATTCAATTTATATGAAGAGGTTTAGTCACCTCGACTGAAACTCTTCCCAGACTAGGGACACTTACGAGACAGTGAACTTCACGAGTATCTGGGGTCCTGGAAAAGATTCAATTCGCTGCAAGATTAATGAATACTCACTGAAATATGAGGCTACGTGATGATGGTGGAGGTGGAGACCGCGATACCTTGTGTGCTCCACTCTACGTGGTGATGGTGGAGGTGGAGACAGCGATACCTTGTGTGCTCCACTCTACGTGGTGATGGTGGAGGTGGAGACAGCGATACCTTGTGTGCTCCACTCTACGTGGTGATGGTGGAGGTGGAGACAGCGATACCTTGTGTGCTCCACTCTACGTGCAGCGATACCTTGTGTGCTCCACTCTACGTGGTTGATGGTGGAGGTGGAGACAGCGATACCTTGTGTGCTCCACTCTACGTGATGATGGTGGAGGTGGTGGAGTGGTGATGGTGGAGGTGGAGACAGCGATACCTTGTGTGCTCCACTCTACGTGATGATGGTGGAGGTGGAGACAGCGATACCTTGTGTGCTCCACTCTACGTGGTGATGGTGGAGGTGGAGACAGCGATACCTTGTGTGCTCCACTCTACAGCGATACCTTGTGTGCTCCACTGTGTGGGTGGAGGTGGAGACAGCGATACCTTGTGTGCTCCACTCTACGTGGTGATGGTGGAGGTGGAGACAGCGATACCTTGTGTGCTCCACTCTACGTGGTGATGGTGGAGGTGGAGACAGCGATACCTTGTGTGCTCCACTCTACGTGATGATGGTGGAGGTGGAGACAGCGATACCTTGTGTGCTCCACTCTACGTGGTGATGGTGGAGGTGGAGACAGCGATACCTTGTGTGCTCCACTCTACGTGGTGATAGTGGAGGTGGAGACAGCGATACCTTGTGTGCTCCACTCTACGTGGTGATGGTGGAGACATCGATACCTTGTGTGCTCCACTCTACGTGGTGATGGTGGAGGTGGAGACAGCGATACCTTGTGTGCTCCACTCTACGTGATGATGGTGGAGGTGGAGACAGCGATACCTTGTGTGCTCCACTCTACACTTATTTAGCTATGTTCTAGGAATTTTTCCTTATAGATATATTGTCCAGGTACTTCCCTAGTTCTAGAGAGTAATCACTGGTGATAAAGATAACTGGATAAGGTGTCCTAAGCTGAATAATTGTTCGCAAGGCACAGTCACGTGTTCACTGTTTGTAAACACACGCGTTCTGCCTCGGGGCGTGGTGGGTGCCTCTCTACCCAGCCATCGTCCCCCCCCCCCCCATGCTCCCTGAGCAAGATAGCCTTCAATGAATATTGATTGATTATTTTTACTGTCTAGATATATGATTGAGATAAGATGTGATTATAATATAATTAGATATAGGATTTAAAGATTACAAGTAGTACTTTCAAGCATTACTGATTCTTATTAAGGATTTGAGTTAATCCCTACCGGAAATCGATTCAATTGTTCCAATAGTTTTTTAATTAAGAAATCCTTCTAGAAGCTTCTGGATCCTTGAGAAATCACGCATAAAGTCACGTAGGTAACCAAGGGCCCTATGGTTGTATGTGCTCATAGGTGGTATCCCTGGAAACACAAACCGAAACTGTCTCTATTTTCCGCTTGTTACAACTTGTAATAAAGCGTTTACATGTTGGCTTAACGTGTTTATGACGTATTAGAACGTTGTTACAACTTGCTATATTGGTTGTTAAAACTGGTTAGGAAGTGTTAAAACTTGTTCGAACGTTGTACCAACGTCGTAGTTTCGGTGTGTGTTTGGCGGGATGGTCTTGCAGGATCCAGATGTATAATGAATCTGTAGGGATTTTGATATGATTTTGATATGATATAGAAATAATACATTTCTTAGATATTAATATAGATATAGTGAGTAAAAATTTCCCACAATTCCTACTGGGTCTTCATTACTGATTTCCCTAATGTAGGAGTCGCTCAGAGTGAAGACTAGGTCGAGTCTCGCTGAGTCGCTCAGAGTGAAGACTAGGTCGAGTCTCGCTGAGTCGCTCAGAGTGAAGACTAGGTCGAGTCTCGCTGGGTCGCTCAGAGTGAAGACTAGGTCGAGTCTCGCTGAGTCGCTCAGAGTGAAGACTAGGTCGAGTCTCGCTGAGTCGCTCAGAGTGAAGACTAGGTCGAGTCTCGCTGAGTCGCTCAGAGTGAAGACTAGGTCGAGTCTCGCTGAGTCGCTCAGAGTGATGACTAGGTCGAGTCTCGCTGAGTCGCTCAGAGTGAAGACTAGGTCGAGTCTCGCTGAGTCGCTCAGAGTGAAGACTAGGTCGAATCTCGCTGAGTCGCTCAGAGTGAAGACTAGGTCGAGTCTCGCTGAGTCGCTCAGAGTGAAGACTAGGTCGAGTCTCGCTGAGTCGCTCAGAATGAAGACTAGGTCGAGTCTCGCTGGTTCATCATTTTCTCTCGTTCTTGTTGGTTCCCTGACATGCTGGTTTAGAAAGTTTCTTGTCGCCACCTCCAATAGTTTAGCTCTCCATGTTTCCTCTCCTCCATGTGGTTCCTTGTTCTCCCAGTCTTTCCTTCTGTGATTGAAGTCTTCCCATGATGATCAGATGGGATCTATTTCTACAGGCAGCAGAGGCTGCCCTCTCAATTATAGTGTTAACTTCCATGTTGTAGTTGTTGAACTTTTGCCTGGGTCTTCTGTTGTTTGGTGGAGGGTTATATATCACTGCTACTTCTACTCTTGGTCCTCCAATTGTCATGGTGCCTGTAATGTAGTCTCTGAATCTCTAGCAGCCCGGGATAACCATCTCCTTGAAGCTCCATTCCCTTCTCATTCCTCTCCACTCTGGCTCCTCCCCTTCCTTCCCTCTCTTTCCTTGTTACTGTGTAGTCCTGTGGAACACTGCATTTGTTATGATTCCTGAGGCTTTTGTTCTCATGAGTCCAATAACATCCGGGTTCACTTCTTGTGCTCTTTCCCTTAGTTCACTTGTCTTGCTTGTGATCCCATATATGTTCGAGCACATCACCTTGAAGCTGACTCTTTCTGTTCATCCTTAGTTTCTATTGATTTCACTGGAGTAGGGAAACAAGGAAGGTCTGAGATGGAGGACCTGGGGGATCTGGGGTGTGAGGGGGTTGAGTATGGTATGGAAAGGGTGGTGGAGAAGGGAGGGCTTGGAGGGGTGGAGGAATAGGGAGGGCTTGAGGGGGGTTGGGAAGCGGGGGCTAGAGGGGGTAGGGGAGAGGAGGGCTTGGTGGATTAGTGTAGGAGGGAGTGCTTTGGGGGGTTGGGGAGAAGGGATAGCCTATCAGCTAGGCTATCGTTACCGCTACCGGTCCCCGGCTACTACCAACGGCTGTCATTCTTTGAAAAATTCTACAATGTTTGGGTTTTGCATGTTTTAATTTCACTACCAAACATTGCCAATAGCAAAAGCGGAAAGTTAACATAATTCTTAACTCGTACACAAATTAATGAATATATTTCTAAATATAAGATATAAACAGAGATAAAAAAAAAATCAAGAACATTTATAATTTAATCAACAACGTTGTACAGAAAGAAATTATTTTGGGTTGAGTTGACATAAAGGGGAAGAGACAAGTTTCTCGCATTATGGAGGTCGTGGAAGAGATGAAAGCCGAGGTTGTTGATAGTGGAGCCACACGCCTTCTCGATCCCCACCAGCTGGTCCTGAGTGATGACAGACCGCCACTGCTGCAACATTCTGCGAGAGTTCCTCTTGATGTTGAATTTTTTGCTTGCGTTGTCTCTTGAAGTAAATCGCTCCAGGAAGCTGTAAATGGTAATCATGTTAGTGTTTGTTGACAATTTCCACCCAAATCGTGTATATTGGTTGACATCAACAAGCACCAGCTTGGCAGCCAGGAACCTGTTGCCAAGATGATTGAGGGAGAGTGAATGTTGGTGATCATTGGGAATATCAGGTGGGAGAGTGATACCTGACAGTGGGAGAGTGATACCTGACAGTAGGAGAGTGTTACTTAACCAGTGACAGGAGGTAGAGTGTTACCTGATAGTGGGAGTGTTACTTAACCAGTGACAGGTTGGAGGGGAGTGTTACCTGACAGTAGCAGGTGGGAGAGTGTGGTAACCCAGGAAGGAGAAGATCATGCGGGCCATTTTCTCAGGATCCATACACAGGTCTTCGTACCGCACCGCCATGTACCTGCCACGAAACACAAATTTACTGATTGTAGGAAAATGTTAACACACACACTACAAAATGAATGAAATAATACAGAGTCTCCGGAATGAGTTGGGGAAGCCAAAGAAGAGATACGGAGACTCAGGGAAAATCTGAATTTGAACCAGTACAAGGCAAGCAACCCTCTGGAAACAGGGGATGGAACTGATGGAGAACTCCTTCCAGGGCGACCCTCGTTTGCAGAAATGCTGCAAAACAACCCAAGTGCTAAGGCTGCTTTGGAGGAAGCAGCTATGAAAGTAGCTACTTTCCAGGAAGCTGCAAAGTGTTCTACACAATTGCTGGAATGAAAAAGATCTGTTATAGTTGTAGGAATACAGGAACATGATGGATCCAACCGAGAGGAGTGGAGAAGGCAGGACTGAGCAATGGCGATAAAGATTTTGGAGGGTCTGGTTATGGTTGGGGCTAATAGCAACATAGAGAAGGTTTTCAGGCTGGGTGGCTACAAGAAAGAAAGGAAACGACTGATAAGGTTAGTGCTCACAAGCAAGACAACAAAAGAGGAGATTCTGTACAGGAGGAACAAACTTATGAGACTAGAGGACAACATGGACGTTTTTCTGCAGAGGGACATGACGAGGGAAGCAAGAAGCAAGGCTGCAGAAGAAAGGAGGAGATGCAAGGCGAGGGATCGGCATGTGGGAGCCACTGGACTTGGCTCAGTATCTTGAGTAACCTCAGAGGGGAGTGGGAACACCCCCCCCCCTAATCAGCAGGCCACTACCCTCCAAGTTCCCTTCCATGACCTCCTTCTTTCCATCCCCCCTTTCCCCACCCCGAGCCCCTTCCTGTTCCCACACCCAATGCCCTCCCCTGTTTCCCCACCCCAGATTCTCCTTCATACCCTACCCCCTTCTTCCCCCCCCCCCACCCCAGACACTCCTTCCCTCCCCAACCTCTGACCTCCATGCCCCACTATCCACAGGCTCCCGTTCATTGCCGAACCAATGACCTCCCCCCAACCACATCCCCCCCTCCTGCTTCCCCATGCCATACCGTAATTGACCCCCAACTTCAGACCCTCTCAGATCCACCACCTCAGACCCTCCTAGCTTCCCCATACCGGATCCTCCAATATCCCCTCACACCCCAGATCCTCCAGGTCCTCCTACCTAGGCCCTCTCATCCTGGAACCCCCCCCCCCTGTTTCACTACTCCAGTGGAATCAACAGAAACTGAGAATAGACAGAAGAAAGTCAGCTTCAAGGTAATGTACTCAAACATAGATGGGATTACAGGTAAGGCAAGTGAACTTGGGGAAAGAACACAAGAAGTGAACTCAGATATAATTGGACTCACAGAAACAAAACTGTCAGGAATCATTATGAATGAGGTGTTTCCATAGGACTACACTCTAATAAGGAAAGAGAAGGAAGGAAGAGAAGGAGGCAGAGTGGTCCTACTGATGAGAAAGAAATAAAGTTAGGAAATAGGAGAGCTAGGGCTATCCAGGACTGCGAGGGGTTCAGAGACTACATAACAGGCACCATGACGATGAGAGGATCAAGAGTAGTAATATCAGTGATATATATAACCCTCCTCCAGAAGACCCAGGCAAGAGTATGACAAAAACAACATTGCAGTTATCGCTATAGTTTAGAGAGCAGCCGCTGCTGTCCGTAGAAATTGATCCCATTTGCTCATCCTGGAGGACATCAATCACTGAAGAATAGAATGGGAAATCAAGGAACTGCGTAGAGGCATGGAAACATGTAGAGCTAACCCGCCAAACACACACCGAAACTACGACGTCGCAACAACGTTCGAACAAGTTTTAACACCTCCTAACCTGTTATAACAACCAATATATCAAGTTGTAACAACGTTCTAATACGTCATAAACACGTTAAGCCAAGATGTAACAACTTTATTACAAGTTGTAACAAGCGGAAAATAGAGACAGTTTCGGTTTGTGTTTCCAGGGAAACTATTGGAAGTGGTAACAAAAAACCTTTTAAGTCAACATGTCAAGGAATCCACAAGAATGAGAGGCAACGATGAACCAGCGAGATTCGACCTAGTCCTCATTCTGAGTAACTTCAATATAAGGGAAATCGGTTTCGAAGCTCCCGTGGGAATCAGCAATCACAGTGTACTGACGTTCGAGTACCAGGTCGAAGAAAGTACTCCCTTATCCAATGGAGTACCTTTCCTCTCACTCCTGCCTGCATCTCCAGCTCTAGTCAGTTATTTGGGACTGTGGCTTTCTGGCAATCCAAAAATATGCAGTTTGCCCAACCCTCTCTTGCCTAATTTTTGTTGCCTGGTCATAGAATTCAATTTAAAAGGTGAGGCATGATTTGCCATCCCTGAACCCATGCTGAAGTTGTGTTACTCAAGAATGTACTCAAGGAAGGACCCAGAAAACAAAAAGCTTGGAAAAACTATGCAAATAACAGGATACTACAAAGCAGAGAAAGGTACCCCAGTGTGCCAGGAATGACTATGTGAGGATGAGAAGAGAGGCAGAAAGAAAATAGGAAAATGACATAACAAGCAAGGCAAAGATTCAAACTAAATTGCTGTTCAGCCACATCAGGAGAAAAACAACAGTGAAGGAACAGGTAATGAAACTAAGGATAGGGGGCACACAGATTCATTACAAACGACAAGAAAGTGTACGAGGAATTCAATAAGAAATTACAGGAGGTCTTCACAGCAGAGCGAGGAGAAGTCCCAGAGATAAGAGAGTGAATATCTAACCAGATACCACTAGATGAGTTTGTGATTACCAGTGGGGAGGTGAGAAAGAGTCTGCTAGAGTTGGATGTGACAAAGGATATAGGTCTGGATGGAATCTCATCATGGATACTGAAGGAAGGAGCAGAAGCTCTGTGCCTGCCACTCTACATGTTGAATACCAAATTACTGATAACAAGTGAACTGCCAAAAATTTAGAAGACGGCTAATGTAGTTCCGATATTCAATAAAGGTGATAGACAGGAGGCACTGAACTACAGGCCAGTGTCCCTAACTTGCATACCATGCAAGATGATGGAGAAAATTGTGCGAAAAAATCTAGTGGAACATTTGGAGAGAAAGAACGTTGCAACACAACTTCAGCATGGGTTCAGGGATGGCAAATCATGCCTCACCTTTTAAATTGAATTCTATGACCAGGCAACAAAAATTAGGCAAGGGAGGGTTGGGCAAACTGCATATTTTTGGATTGCCAGAAAGCCACAGTCCCAAATAACTGACTAGAGCTGGAGATGCAGGCAGGAGTGAGAGGAAAGGTACTCCATTGGATAAGGGAGTACCTAAGGAAAAGAAGACAGCGAGTCACTGTGAGGTCTCAGAATGGCGAAATGTCACCAGTGGAGTCACACAGGGATCAGTCCTTGGACCTATACTGTTTCTGATATATGTAAAGGATCTCCCAGAGGGAATAGACTCCTTCCTCTCAATGTTTGTGGACGATGCAAAAATTATGAGGAGGATTAAAACGGAGGAAGACAGTATGAGACTACAAGATGATCTAAACAAATCGAATGAATGGTCCAACAAATGGCTACTAAAATTCAACCCAAGTAAATGTAAGGTAATGAAACCAGGGGAAGGAAATAGGAGGCAAGACACTGAATACAGAATGGGAGATGAAGTCCTTTACGAAACGGACAGAGAAAGATCTAGGAGTTGATACCATGCCAAACCTGTCTCCTGAAGCCCACATCAAGAGAATAACAGCTGCAGCGTATGCAAGGCTGGCTAATATCAGAACTGCCTTCAGGAACCTGTGTAAGGAGTCTTTCAGAACCTTGTATACCACGTATGTAAGGCCATTCCTGGAGTATGCAGCCCCAGCATGGAGCCCGCACCTTGTCAAGCACAAGACGAAACTGGAAAAAGTTCAGAGGTATGCCACTAGGCTAGTCCCAGAACTAAGAGGCATGAGTTACGATGAAAGGCTGAGGGAACTGCACCTCACGTTGCTTGAAGACAGAAGAGCTCGGGGAGACATGATCACTACATACAAAATTCTCAGGGAAATTGACAGGATAGAAAAGCATGGATTATTTAACACTGGTGGTACACGCACAAGGGAACACAGGTGGAAACTGAGTACCCAAATGAACCACAGAGACGTTAGAAAGAACTTTTTCAGTGTCAGAGTAGTTAGTAAATGGAATGCAGTAGGAAGTGATGTGGTGGAGGCTGACTCCATTCACGGTTGTTCCCAGTAGCCTCAGGAATCTGTACACCAGTTGATTGATGGTTGAGAGGCAAGACCAAAGAGCCAAAGCTTAACCCCCGCAAGCACAACTAGGTGAGTACACACACACACAGTGGGGGGGGGGGGTCTGGTAGCTGAGTGGACAGCGAGCAGGATTCGCAATCTTGTGACCCGGGTTCGATTCCCGGACTAGGCAGAGACAAATGGTCAGAGTTTCTGTTACCCTGATGCACCTTTTACCTAGCAGTAAATAGGTACTTGGGAGTTAGACAGCTGTTACGGGCTGCTTCCTTTGTGAGTGTGTGTGTGCTCACCTATTTGTGTCTGCAGGATCGAGCATTGACTCTTGGATCCCGCCTTTCAAGTATCGGATGTTTACAGCAATGACTCCGGTCCTATTTCCCTATCATACCTAGTTTTAAAATTATGAATAGTATTTGCTTCCACAACCTGTTCCTTAAGTGCATTCCATTTTTCCACTTCTCTCACGCTAAAAGAAAACTTCCTAACATCTCTGTGACTCATCTGAGTTTCCAGCTTCCACCCATGTCCCCTCGTTCTGTTACTATTCCGTGTGAACATTTCATCTATGTTCACTCTGTCAATCCTAATGAGTATTTTATACGTTCCTATCATGTTCCCCATCTCCCTTCTTTTCTCTAGTGTCGTAAGGCACAGTTCCCTCAGGCGCTCCTCATACCCCATCCCTCGTAATTTTGGGACGAGTCTCATTGCAAACCTCTGAACCTTTTTCAGTTCCCTTATATGCTTCTTCAGATGGGGACTCCATAATGAGGCGGCATACTCTAAGACTGGCCTCACGTAGGCAGTGTAAAGCGCCCTAAATGCCTCCTTACTTAGGTTTCTGAATGATGTTCTAACTTTCGCCAGTTTTGAGTACGCTGCTGTCGTTATCTTATTAATATGTGCTTCAGGAGATAGATTAGGTGTTACGTCCACGCCCAGGTCTCTTTCTCACGTCGTCACAGGTAGGCAGTTCCCCTTCATTTTGTACTGTCTCTTTGGTCGCCTATCACTTAGTCCCATTTCCATAACTTTATATTTACTGGTGTTGAACTCCAGTAGCCATATTTCTCTGATCATCTCTGTAACCTGTTCAGGTCCTCTTGGAGGATCCTGCAATCCTCATCTGTCACAACTCTTCTCATCAACTTTGCGTCATCCGCAAACATCGACATGTAGGACTCTACTCCTGTAAACATGTCGTTAACATATATTAGAAATAGAATTGGTCCCAGCACCGATCCTTGAGGTACTCCACTTGTTACTGTTCGCCAGTCCGACTTCTTGCCCCTTACCGTAATTCTTTGGCTTCTTCCTGTTAGGTAGTTCCTTATCCATGCTAGGACCTTTCCCCCCACCCCCGCCTGCCTCTCGAGTTTGAACAGCAGTCTCATGTGCGGTACTGTATCAAAGGTTTTTTGGCAGTCCAGAAATATGCAGTCTGCCCAACCATCTCTGTCCTCTCTTATTCTCGTTATTTTATCATTGAATTCCAAAAGGTTTGTGAAGCACGATTTCCCTTTCCAGAACCCATGTTGATGTTTGTTCACAAACCAAACGTTCACCAGGTGTGCAACCAGTCGTAGCTTAATTATTCTTTCAAGTATTTTACAGGGGATGCTTGTCAGTGATACAGGTCGATAGTTAAGTGCCTCCTCTCTATCGCCTTTCTTGGAAATCGGTACGACATTTGCCTTCTTCCAGCAACTGGGCAATTCTCCCGACATAAGTGACTCATTAAAGATCATTGCCAGAGGCAATGTGAGTTTGTGTGTGTGAGAGAGAGAGAGAGAGAGATAAAGAGAGATCGAAGTGCCCTATGGCACTTGGATCACATCGCCTTTATTAATAAATAATAATTAATAAATAAATAAATAAATCTTTATTCAGGTAAGGTACATACATACAATAGATTTTACAAAAAATGATAGATTTATAGATAGAGCTAGTACATACAATGCCTAAAGCCACTATTACCCGAAGCGTTTCGGGCAGGAAAAACATTAAAGACTTAAACTTAATACTGATTGAGTTTAAACTATAAAATGTGTTGAGAACAAATAAAATAAAAAGGGGGGGGGGAGAACATGGCTGAAAAAGCAGCACAAATACAATTAGGTCGACAAACAGCGTTGTTAAAAATAACAGACATGGGTTGACAATAAAGGAGTGAGGTGGGTTACAGGGAATTTATTAGGTAGTGTTTAGTTTTTATCTTAAGCTGGTTGAGAGAGGTACAATCTTTAACATGGTTGGGAAGATCATTCCACATTCTGGGTCCCTTGATTTGTAGAGCATTTCTAGTTTGATTAAGTCGTACTTTAGGAATATCAAAACTGTATTTGTTTCTGGTGTGGTGCTCATGGGTTCTGTAACAACCTTCAATGAAGCTTTGGAGGTCAGGATTGGCATTACAGTTCAGCGTTTTATATATGTATAATACACATGAGAGGATGTGCAGTAACTTAATATCTAACATATTCAGAGATTTGAGTAGGGGTACCGAGTGATGTCTGGGGCCAGAGTTGGATATTGTCCTAATAGCAGCTTTGTGTTGAGTAATTAGAGGACGTAAATGATTTTGGGTAGTAGAACCCTAAGCACAAATACCATAGTTGAGATATGGATAGATGAGGGAGTAATAGAGCGTCATCAGGGCAGGGCGAGGTACATAATATCTGATATTAGAAAGAATGCCAACAGTTTTTGAAACTTTTTTGATATATTTAGAATGTGTCCCTGGAAATTCAGCTTGTGGTCAATGAGAACGCCAAGGAATTTGCCATCTATTTTGTTACAAATTTGGGTATTTATTCTGAGATTTATTTGATTCTGAAGAAGATTTCCACATGGCTCATAATGAACCGAGATAGGAACAAGGAGATTAGTTAATACGTGCGTTCTGAAATAATCAATTTAACTGAAAGCTTCAAAGTTGATTTGCTTACCTTCCCGGATATTGCTTGAGGAGGTTCGTGCCATTTCGTAAGTCGTGATTGATATAGTTGCAGCTGACCTCTGGTAAGGCATGCCACTTCAGCTTCTGGTACGATATAAGAGATCCTCTGGGATCTCTAACTAAGTGAATCACCTTCAGCTTGCTGGCGGCATCATCGAGGAGAGGTGGCAACGAGGCCACGCGCATTCTGATCGTCTTCACCAAACGAATGGGCTCCTTCCGGCAAGCTTCATTGAGTTTCTTGGGATGAAAGCATTTCCTTTTGCAAGTTTTTCCATATCTGTTTCTCAAAGTAAAATAAGGCGAACTGTTCTGCATTGCGTTAATTACAAGACCACTGACGTTGCAGGTAAAGAGTGCTTGTAGAGCTTGGTGGACGGTGTCGGGCTGCAGTTGTTTGCGTGCCTCGATGTTGCGTAGAGGTTCGAAGTAATAGAAGACGCCGGCTTGGGTCGCCAGTAGCTCGCCCAGGAAACTCGACCCGCTACGCCCTAGTGAACTCAGGAGAAGAATGTTGAAGGATGGAGGTCCTTGGTCGCCACCAGTAATGTGGGAGGTGTTGTGGTTCTTCTCTGGTTTTGTATTTTCTGTTTTTTTCCTACTTTCCTCAGATCTTCTGCTCATATCTTCATATTTCTTTGTTTGGTTGATCATGTGCGTGACGGCAAGAGTGCGGCGGGTCAACAGCTTAAAACCAACATCTGTCAAGATGAGACACATGAAATACTTAAACGTGAACTGATTCACAAATATCAAGAAAATCAGAATATATTCCACGCTGGAAGCACATACATCAACCTCTCTGTCGGCCAAACAGGAGCTGTGGCGACACACAGAGAAAGAGACAAGTCAACCAACTACAAAGTCAACCAACTACAAAGAAAGAGATCACCGATACAACTTCGTTCCAATAAGATATGAGACCATTACACACACAGATCACACTAACGTGATGCATCAAATGAACAAATAAAATATGCAAATAATGCAAATGTGTGTAATGATGTATGGGCGAAGAGGGAAAACGGCCTATTGACATAGCTCGGGTGCAGGGGGGAGTTGTGTAAAATCCTGGTTTGTGCCTAGGAGAGGCTATGGGATCCAGTAAGTTAAGTAGAACTTCGGTTTCAACTCTTTTTAACCCTGTCGTAGCTCAGTCGATTAAGGCAGTGCCTGGGATGCTCTTGGACGCAGGTTCGAATCCTCGTCACGGCCCTTGTGGATTTGTTCATATGCGATCCTTTGTCCGTGGGGAGATAATGCAAAGAGGTTTCTTAATGATCTTGGTTTCAGGTTCATTGAAACTACAAGGGACCCTAGAGCGGCAAGTTTTCTCTTCCAGCTTCTCAGCTAGGCGATCCAGAGGAGGGAATGCCCGCTGCATGCATCCTCGGTTCCTGTCCAGCGTTGGATGAGTTCGAAGAAATCAGCAGCAAATATATAAATATATATATATATATATATATATATATATATATATATATATATATATATATATATATATATATATATATATATATATTTTATTAAATATGACCGAAAAAGTAAGATTAATAATTCTAACACGAATTTTCTCAATCTTTCGTACATTATGCTTCACTGTTGGAGGTAAATCAAAAATCACTTCTCCAAAATTCATTTTTATTTCTAGTCTGACGCGACACGGGCGCGTTTCGTAAAACTTATTACATTTTCAAAGACTTCACAAATACACAACTGATTAGAACTTGCGTTTCCCTGATTTTATATCTACATTTGAGTGAGGTGGGAAGGGTGATGTGGCATTACATTTGAGTAAGGTGGGAAGGATGATGTGGCATTAGAGGATATTAATAGGGTATTAAAAGTATCAACACAAGACAGAACACGAAACAATGGATATTGAATAGAAGTGTTTGTAGAAAGCCTATTGGTCCATATTTCTTGATGCTTCTATATTGGAGCGGAGTCTTGAGGTGGGTAGAATATAGTTGTGCAATAATTGGCTGTTGAATAACAACCAATTATTGCACAACTATATTCTACCCACCTCAAGACTCCGCTCCAATATAGAAGCATCAAGAAATATGGACCAATAGGCTTTCTACAAACACTTCTATTCAATATCCATTGTTTCGTGTTCTGTCTTGTGTTGATACTTTTAATACCCTATTAATATCCTCTAATGCCACATCATCCTTCCCACCTTACTCAAATGTAATGCCACATCACCCTTCCCACCTCACTCAAATGTAGATATAAAATCAGGGAAACGCAAGTTCTAATCAGTTGTGAATTTGTGAAGTCTTTGAAAATGTAATAAGTTTTACGAAACGCGCCCGTGTCGCGTCAGACTAGAAATAAAAATGAATTTTGGAGAAGTGATTTTTGATTTACCTCCAACAGTGAAGCATAATGTACGAAAGATTGAGAAAATTCGTGTTAGAATTATTAATCTTACTTTTTCGGTCATATTTAATAAAATATGTCTACAGGAAAGACTGCTACCAAAATATACTAATATATATATATATATATATATACACACACATATATATATTAGTATATTTTGGTAGCAGTCTTTCCTGTAGACATATATTATTAAATATGACCGAAAAAGTAAGATTAATAATTCTAACACAAATTTTCTCGATCTTTCTTATGTTTCTTTTCACTGTTGATGGTAAATGAAAAATCAATTCTCCAAAATTCAATTGTATTTCTAGTCTGACGCGACACTTGAGCGCGTTTCGTAAAACTTATTACATTTTCAAAGACTTTAGTTTACACACACACACAACTTATAACTGAATAGAGCTTAAACATCTTCGATTTTTTATACCTGCATTTGGGTGAGGTGATATGTTACAACAGTTTTGGATGAGGTGAAAACAAACTTTCAACACAAGCCAGAACACGAAACAATGGGTATTGAAGGTAAGAATGGAAGTAATTGCAGAGGGCCTATTGGCCCATATTTCTTGATGCTTCTATATTGGAGCGGAGTCTTGAAGTGGGTAGAATATAGTTGTGCATTAATTGGCTGTTGATTGCTGGTGTTGACTTCTTGATGTGTAGTGCCTCGCAGACGTCAAGCCGCCTGCTATCGCTGTATCGATCGATGATTTCTGTGTTGTTTGCTAAGATTTCTCTGGTGATGGTTTGGTTGTGGGAAGAGATTATATGTTCCTTAATGGAGCCCTGTTGCTTATGCATCATTAAACGCCTGGAAAGAGATGTTGTTGTCTTGCCTATATACTGAGTTTTTTGAGGCTTACAGTCCCCAAGAGGGCATTTGAAGGCATAGACGGCGTTGGTCTCTTTTAAAGCGTTCTGCTTTGTGTCTGGAGAGTTTCTCATGAGTAGGCTGGCCGTTTTCTTGGTTTTATAGTAAATCGTCAGTTGTATCTTCTGATTTTTGTCTGTAGGGATAACGTTTCTATTAACAATATCTTTCAGGACCCTTTCCTCCGTTTTATGAGCTGTGGAAAAGAAGTTCCTGTAAAATAGTCTAATAGGGGGTATAGGTGTTGTGTTATTTGTCTCTTCAGAGGTTGCATGGCGTTTCACTTTCCTTCTTATGATGTCTTCGACGAAACCATTGGAGAAGCCGTTGTTGACTAGGACCTGTCTTACCCTACAGAGTTCTTCGTCGACTTGCTTCCAACCAGAGCTGTGGCTGAGAGCACGGTCGACGTAAGCGTTAACAACACTCCTCTTGTACCTGTCTGGGCAGTCGCTGTTGGCATTTAGGCACATTCCTATGTTTGTTTCCTTAGTGTAGACTGCAGTGTGGAAACCTCCGCTCCTTTCCATGACTGGAACATCTAGAAAGGGCAGCTTCCCATCCTTCTCCATCTCGTAAGTGAAACGCAACACAGAATTCTGCTCAAATGCCTCCTTCAGCTCCTGCAGATGTCTGACATCAGGTACCTGTGTAAAAATGTCGTCAACATACCTGCAGTATATGGCCGGTTTCAAGTTCATGTCGACTAAGACTTTTTGTTCGATGGTACCCATGTAGAAGTTCGCAACAGGACACCTAGGGGAGAACCCATGGCGACCCCATCTACTTGCTTATACATGTGCCCATTTGGACTCAAGAAGGGTGCCTCTTTAGTACAAGCTTGGAGTAGTTTCCTTAGAATATATATATATATATATATATATATATATATATATATATATATATATATATATATATATATATATATATATATATATATATATATATATATATATATATATATATATATATACTGATTTGTTTTTTTCTCCACCAAACTGTGTATCCTTCAAGGCTATCTAGTGTCCTTTATTCTACTTCTAATTGTTCCATTTTTTTTATACTTGCATTTATTGTTGTGTGTTTACTATAATAATTCTCTAATTATAGCAGACTTAGTATTTATGTAAGCATGTACCTCAGTGTCTTAGTCAAATCTTGCTCATAAATATTATATTTTTTTATATTTAATTGTAATTTGATTTATACATCATTTATTGTAATTAATTATTGAGCTCATTTTCTTTTCTTAAGTTCATACTAATTATAGGTTCACAACTAAGCTATATTAAATAATTGTTTTTTAAGATTACTTTACGATTATTAGTTGTCTCTTTATTTTTTGCTATAAATTATTCTTGCCAGTCTACTGATTTTTTCTTCTCGCTTAACTTAACTACTGTATCCTTCCTGGCTATCTACGGGGATCTTTACTCCTGGTTGATCCTTCCTGGCTATCTACGGGGATCTTTACTCCTGGTTGATCCTTCCTGGCTATCTACGGGGATCTTTACTCCTGGTTGATCCTTCCTGGCTATCTACGGGGATCTTTACTCCTGGTTGATCCTTCCTGGCTATCTACGGGGATCTTTACTCCTGGTTGATCCTTCCTGGCTATCTACGGGGATCTTTACTCCTGGTTGATCCTTCCTGGCTATCTACGGGGATCTTTACTCCTGGTTGATCCTTCCTGGCTATCTACGGGGATCTTTACTCCTGGTTGATCCTTCCTGGCTATCTACGGGGATCTTTACTCCTGGTTGATCCTTCCTGGCTGTCTACGGGGATCTTTACTCCTGGTTGATACCTGGTTGATGGGGTTCTGGGAGTTCTTCTACTCCCCAAGCCCGGCCCGAGGCCAGGCTTGACTTGTGAGAGTTTGGTCCACCAGGCTGTTGCTTGGAGCGGCCCGCAGGCCCACATATACCTGGTTGATGGGGTTCTGGGAGTTCTTCTACTCCCCAAGCCCGGCCCGAGGCCAGGCTTGACTTGTGAGAGTTTGGTCCACCAGACTGTTGCTTGGAGCGGCCCGCAGGCCCACATACCCACCACAGCCCGGTTGGTCCGGCACTCCTTGGAGGAATAAATCTAGTTTCCTCTTGAAAATGTCCACGGTTGTTCCGGCAATATTTCTTATGCTTGCTGGGAGGACGTTGAACAACCGCGGACCTCTGATGTTTATACAGTGTTCTCTGATTGTGCCTATGGCACCTCTACTCTACTTCTAATTGTTTCTATTTTTTTGTGTACCTACGTTTATTTTTGTGTTTTGCTACAATTACTTTCTATTTACAGCAGTTTTAGTATTTAACTGTTCCTGTAATTGCTTATCTTATTGTATCGTGACATTATTGTATCTATATGCTAACTGATATTGATCCTGATCGAAATCTTCTGTCCCATATCCACACAAATCAGCACATTGAC